GAACTGATGTTCGTGTAGAAATAATTAATATAAATATAAATAATGCACGGCCCTTGTGGCACGACAGAATATAATAAATATGTATAGCCCTTGAGGCCAATAGAATATAAAATAATATATACGGCCCTTATGGCACGACAGTTATGACAATAAATATAGATATTAGATATATATGTATATAATATAGCCCTTTTGGCTCAACAGCTAAATAAGTATAATAAGAACAGTAATTATATAGTAATATACCCTTTTGGTACGTCAGAACAATTATAAAGAAGTAGCAAAAAAAACAAATCTTTTCAGATGAGTTAGAATCGACTTTACCTAATTACTTGGTACATTTTAGCAGAATTTATTATGGTCTTACACCATCAGATGTTAAGGTATTGGCATATGAATATGCAAAATCAAATAATGTTGCATACCCCAAAGGATGGGATGTACACAAAATAGCCTCTAAAGAATGGTTTACTAGTTTTTTAAAAAGAAATCCTACTTGATCATTACGCTTAGCTGAAGCAACTAGTCTTGGGAGAATCACAATTTTGCTATTTTTTTTGATAATCTACATATGAAGCATAATTTTGAGGGTCAAAGAGTATGGAATGTTGATGAAACTGATGTCACAACTGTGAAAAAACAAAAAAAAATTGTTGCTGAAAAGGGGAAGAAGCAAGTTGGAAGATCTACCTCGGGTGAAAGAGGGACAACTGTAACAATGGTGTTTGCAATCAATGAAATAGGTAATTCTTTGCTACCTATGCTTATATTTCCAAGAGTTAATTTTAAACAGCATTTTGTAAGTAACGGACCTAGTGGTAGCATTGGAGCAAGCCACCCAACTGAATCTTCTTTTTTAATGTTTGTTCAGCATTTTCATAAACATGTTAATTGTAGTCCATCATCTCCGGTCCTACTCATTTTAGACATTCATATTTCTCATTTGTCTATTACTGTTATTGATTTTTGTAAGGAAAATGGTATTGTGTTGCTATCTTTTTCACCACACACTACGAATCACTTACAACCATTGGATATGTCAGTCTATGGCCCCTTTAAAACGTTTTACAATAATTCAGCTATTGAGTAGATGGACGCACATCCTGGTATCCCAATATCCATATATGATATACCGTCATTAGTGAAAGAATCTCTCCCATTAGCAGCAACTCCAAAAAATAGAACATCTGGATTTATTAAAACTGGTATATGGCCATTTAACAGAAATGTGTTCACGGATGAAGATTATTTGTGCTCTGAAGTTACTGATAGACCATTTACTGCTGATTCAATAAATGATACTGTTGCTATTGAACTGTCAACAATTAGTCAACCACTACAGATAATAATATTGACCATACTTTAATTCAACATCTGACTCCTAATACGCCACAATGTGTACAACCATCTACTAGTGGTCATACTATATAAACCCCTGAAAACATAATACCTCTGCCAAAAGCAAGTGAGATTAGATACAATCGTACAAGAAAGAAAACGAAGTCTAAATTTTAACAGATACATCTGAAAAGGAAAAGTTGAGACTAGAACAAGAGGCTCGTAATGAGAAAAATAAGAAAAAAGCGGGTAAGTCGTGGATGTCGCWCTGCTGTACAGTAGGTTACTGTAATGGATGGGATTAAATTTGAATGCAATGATAGGTATCATTGTATACGAAAAACGATTCTGAACGGAGATGATTTGTCAGTCTAGGATATATTATATTTTAATATTATCATATATTCTATTTTGAAATAAATATTTTATTTTTTAATTAACACGTTGACTGCCGCGTGCCCGCCGGTGGTCATTTGATAATCTTTCGTGGAAGGCTACGGTATATTTAGAGAGTTATTCATAGAATGTCATTGTCGATATTTCTACAACTAATCATAGGAAATTCATGAAACCGATATCGGTATTCTTATTTTTGTCAGGCCAATATGATTATCGCACTAGTTTAAAGGTGTAGCTGGCGGTCACTTGGCGTCCTGTTAATACTCGTATTATTTATATGCCACGTGGTTATCGGCGGTCACACTACATTTTATGTATAAGTGATAATTTTTTGTGAATAAAAATTAATTGTTTCCAAACAATAAATATGAGTTATCGTCCAAAAAGGGCCAAATTAAATGATGATACTATAAATCAAATACTTGAAAACGATAGTTCTAGTAATTCCAGTGAATTTAGTGATTTAGATGACACTGATGAAGACGCTACTTACAATCCAAATTCTTCGTCTCAAACTCAACGTCTGGAAACAAACGATCAAAAGTTTCTGCAAAACATTATTTTCAAGAATCTACGGAAAAGTGTAATAGGAATCGAAAACTTCGAAAAAGATGCGTTCATTGCTATCATCAAAGTATGAAAGATGTGGAGGGGACCAGAAAGCTAGAGAAGTAAAAAAAGTTTCAACATTTTGTACAAATTGTAAAATTTATACCTGCATCATTTGTTTTAATATACACCATGTTAATTAATATTTTTAAATTGGAATGAACCAATATTTTATTTTGTTTATTATTTTTTTTTATTTTATCTTTTAATTTTGACATGTATATATTGTACAAGAAGAATTATACATAGTATTTAAATGTTGTTGTTTAATCATTTATTTCTACACCCTAAAAATATCCTATCGAGGTAAAAWATATACTTTTCGATGTAAAAATGTTTCCTCTATGCAATGGTAAATCATGCGTATCATTACTTCAGCGCCAGCACAACAAAGTCTATTTGAAAATATATAAGAATGTGACAGCCCGCGGTCACTTGGCGTATAG